TCCGTTCCTGCACATCTCCTACAATGTGAATATATGTGTGAAACTTCATAAGAATGTTATAGAGATTGGCTATCTCCCTTTCTGTACATCTCCTACAGTGTGAATATATGTGTGAAACTTCATAAGAATGTGATAGAGATTGGCTATTTCCATTCCTGCACATCTCCTACAGTGTAGATGTATGTGTGAAACTTCATAAGAATGTGCTAGGCAAATCTCATGAGATATTATTGGGATTACGGCTGAGAATACTGGTAACAGCCAGGATACCCACCTGATGAATTACTGCATCCTAATTATTATAGGTTTCAGTTTTCTTTTGTAATATTGAATAATCCTAATGAGATCGGTGCATTAAATAATCTACATTATTTACTGGATTATTTTTTAAGTTCTGATCATGTAAGTAGCTTTCTGTGAAAGTTATTGAAATTCCCTTTTCCGCATATTATAGATAACTACAATATTCTTTGCTTTTACATGAATACATAGTTTTCCATACTTCTAGGTTTCAACTATATCCATCATTATATTTGACATTATATATAACTGGAAATGCATTAATCTGGCCAAGTTTTGTCAATTCCTTTTCTTGATATGTACAAAGTCCTGAAATAATTCTTGCGTTTGCAGTTATTTTTTTAAGGTTAAGGAGACCTTACATACAGTTCGATTTTGTTGTTGTTGTTGTTGTTAAATATAATCAATAATTAATTTTTATACCTTTGACGATACGATATTTTTTTAAGAGAAGGAATACAGAACCAGCCTAACCGTACGTATGCCCAGATACCAATTAAATATAATTAATCTCACCCGAATAAAAAATGAGAATCTAAAAAATAAAGAACCGTTTCTATTGACAATATTAACTATTAACTATTTCTATTAACTATTCACGATAGTTTTATTTTATATTTATTATCTAACACTATTGATTAGAATGTTTAATATATCCACAATAGTTTTATCTCTTATTCATTGTCTAACACTATTGATTAAAATGTTTAATATATCCATAATAGTTTGATATATTGTCTAACACTATTGATTAGAATGTTTAATATATCCTTAATAGTTTGATATATTGTCTAACACTATTGATTAGAATGTTTAATATATTCTTAATAGTTTTATCTATTATCTAACACTATTGATTAAAATGTTGAATATATCCATAATAGTTATATTTATTGTCTAAAACTATTGATTAAAGTGTTTAATATATCCATAATAATTTGATTTATTGTCTAACACTATTGATTAAAATGTTTAATATATCCATTATAGTTTTGTTTTTATATATTGTCTAACACTATTGATTAGAATGTTTAATATATCCTTAATAGTTTTATCTATTATCTAACACTATTGATTAAAATGTTGAATATATCCATAATAGTTATATTTATTGTCTAAAACTATTGATTAAAGTGTTTAATGTATCCACAATAGTTTTATTTTATATTTATTATCTAACACTATTGATCAAAATGTTTAATATGTCCATAATATTATTATTTATTATTTATTGTTTTGATTATTTTGATTCTAGCTTAATAGATGGATTTAGAACTAACCTATACTGACCAAACCTCACGAGATATTTTTGGGTTTACAGTCGAAAATATCACTAAGATCGAAGGTACACAACGCATTCCAACCATTGTAAGGTCTTATTTATAATTTTGTATACATCTAATTAAAATGATGTACTAAATTAGCTATTTTATTACTTGTTTAATTTTTAGTTCTGATCCATTTTGTTAGCTAGCTTTTATCAGAAGTTAATGATAATGTAACATAATTAAAGATACTTTAAATTACTTTACGGTCCCCTAACCCCTATGAAATAGTTTGGACAGTGTTGTTAGAAATAGTTACAGTGTTAAAATCATTATCATACTAAAACAGTTTCTAACTTCCAATATGATTAACAACCGCTGGTGAGGATTAAAAAATAAAACTCTATTTAAAATGCTATGTCAGTAAGTTTGTTTGTTTTCTTGTCTGCAGGACCTTGCTGAGAAGTAAACACCTGTACAGGGATTTATGTCAAGAAAGACAATAAATATTTATTTATCTATAATTGCTACACTAAAGATAATTTGCCATATAAGCATTTTGTTTCACGTTAAAGAATAGATTAGATTAAAAGAAAATTTATTTCTACATTTTTACTTCATATCGGAAAATATGTAATAAGGTTATTACTCAAAAAATGACCAAGCAGACATCAGTTAAAACAAACATAAAAAAACAAAACTCACCATTGAACAAACTGGCTTTACAGCTTAATTTCGGTTAAATGAGTAAAGGAAAAAGCAAACAGATTTATTTGCCCCCCAGTAGCACAGCGGTATGTCTGCGGACTTACAATGCTAGAAACCGGGTTTCGATACTCGTGGTGGGCAGAGCACAGATAGCCCTTGTGTAGCTTTGTGCATAATTAAAAACGAACGAACAAAAAACGAACAGATTTATTTCTAATATATAGTCACGTTATTTTTACTGTTGTAATTTCTCTTGAATGGTGAAAAGCTAGGATATGTTGATGAAAGAACTATTTAATATAAAAAAAAACATTATTAACTTTAACTGAAAGAACTATTTAATATAAAAAAACAAAATTATTAACTTTAACTGCAGCTTTTATTCTAGTTGATTTTTCATAAAACGTATAATAACAATTATTTGTTATACATTTTCTTTTTATCTTAAACACATAATCATCATGAGCTTAATTTTTCTTTAGTACGTCAATTGAATTGTCTAATTGTTGTGTTAATCGAGAAAGTATAAATTGTTTTGTAAGTGGGAAAAAAATGGAGGATTTATACACATTAATATATAATTTCACTCCAGAGTACCAATATATATATATATATAATAATGAAGGTTAATATTATTCTCTCTAATAGCTGTGAAATACAACGTGTTCGTAAGTTAAGTGCTAATGTTACTTTCAGATTATTTCCAGCCGATAATATCTAGGTTTAGGATTAGTTTTGAAACGAATCGTTTAATAGACCATTTAATAGGAAATTTCTATTCGTTAAGTTCTAGCGGACATTATTAGAGGAAAATAAATCTTATTAAACACGACTAATTTCAGACTAGTTTTCGACTTCAATGACTTCAAAGTGTTTTATGAAGTTGTTTTATTTGAATAAATAATTCATGATATTTTTTTACTTAATTTATAATATATGTTTGAGGAAAATATATTATTTTGTATTCATAATACAGCTTTTAGAAGTTTTTTTATCATACTTAAGAATAAATTATGACGAATAAAGTTGTTGTAAATTGTTATGAAATTTGTGTTTGGACGTGGGTTTTGGAAACATATCTCTAGTAATATAACGTTTAACAAATTTCAGCTATAGAAAAAAAAACTTTTCGAACTACACAGATAGTATAGATCCTTCATTATTAATCAGGAAAACACGTGAAAATAAAACGTTTGGTTTTTTAAAAAGAAAATTATAAATTATTTGATAAAGTTGCAAATAGAAAGATTGCAGTTGTAGATATTGAAAGAATCCAAGAAAATCAGAAAACCGAGTGTATACTTACAAAATTCAACACAAAAACTAGAAGCTAAAATAATTATTTCTTTAACTAATCATTATTCTATATATATATATATATATGTATACATATGTGTGTGTGCATCTGGTATCAAGCGCGCTAGGGAAACGTTATTATATATTTAAGAATAATAGTGTGAACCATTATGAGAGATGATAGTTCTGTGTAAGAATTTTTTTGAGCGCTGATTTCTATTTAGTTCAACACTAAATGACACCTCTTTTAACAGTAATATGTCAAATATTCTATAACTGTTAGAATGAATACTGTCCATGACAACATATATACTGATAGCAGTAAGACTGATACTAAAAACTGAAACAACATCAGTTATGAGAACAGAGAGAGAGAGAGACTGGTTACAATGAAATTGTGTCAGGTTGATACTTATAACTGAAATGACATCAGTTATAAGAACAGAGAAACGTAATGGTAACAATGAGGTTGTGTCAGGTTGATACTTATTACTAAAATAACACCAGTTATAAGAACAGAGAAGCGTAATGGTAACAATGAGATTGTGTCAGGTTGATACTTATAACTGAAATAACATCAGTTATAAGAACAGAGAAACGTAATGGTAACAATGAGGTTGTGTCAGGTTGATACCTATAACTGAAATAACATCAGTTATAAGAACAGAGAAACATAATTCGATGACTAGTAATGCTTGGAGACGGCTTGAATGAATAATGAAGAAAAAAATTCATATAAGTTTAACAAAACAGCAAATGTACAACGTTTCGACAAGGTTTTGTCATCATCAGGTATATCAGAGAAACATAATGGTAACAATGAGATTGTGTCAGGTTGATACTTATAACTGAAATGAAATCAGTTCTAAGTAATCAGTAGAATATAGTGAACTACGATTCAGTAATTTCTTACTTCAAAATTAAATTGCTGTTACGTTTCGATTGTGAGCATTTTAAGAAACTATTAAGACAATTTATCAAAAGAATGTTTACTTACTGTAAGAAATTTTATTTTTGCATTAACATAAATTAAAATCTCTTAAGACTGACGGACGTTTTAGAATTAATGCTTTGAACAAATAAAGTTACTTTGGATTTCTGTTTCACAAATGTTACTATCTCTGGGCATTCGCCCTACACACATTGTACATTAAACTGTAACATACTGTTTCTATAGCCGTTTTTGAAATGTTACTCTATCAACCTTCTTTATCAACACTCTCAGTAGAACTTAGTGTCAGTGTCCTTTTAAGTTGAGAAGATGTATTAGTTACTTTCTAAGGTGTTTCAGTGTACATTTGCAGAGTATATGATACAATACGAAGTGACTTATTGCTGTAAAAGAAGTAAGATAGTTGGTCCTAGGGTATCTTAGGTTACAGATGAAGTAGTTTATATGTTACACAGAAATCTATTACATTTGCTCCTTACCTTCTTATTTCTTATCTTCACACGCTTCCTTTCTGAGAGTCTAGAGAGCCCAAGAGAGCATCCGTCCGACACTAAACATTTCAAAACCTAGAACCTAGTGAAGAATTATAGCGCTCCCAACTGGTTCACTGGCTAAACATAGAGGAGCGCAAGGAGGATAATGCGCGAGATCTTTCAAAGCGCACGCAGAGAACGCAGGTTACTGACGTCACTAATAAAGAATATTAAAATTGTATGAATTTAAAAAAAAAAAACTATCTGTAAAATTTGGTTCTTCATACATTAGAGTTCTGTAGAAACTCATATTTTCTTAGAATGAGGAGACTTATTGTTGATTTATTCCTAAAACATATACAACCAAAACTATCATATAAAAAAAAAGATTCAGGTGTCCTTCCAGCATGCAACACAGTGGCTCAATGGTAATTCTGTGGACTTATAACGCTAAGAATCGGGTTTCGATACCTGTGGTGGGTACAGCTATTGTGTAGCTTTGTGTTTAACTACAAACAAACCTTCTAGCGTGAGATTTAGATACTTACGAACATCCTATTCTTACTAAAGTCAGTCCTTAATCATTACACTCAATCGATCGGTGGTTAGATGGACCTTAAATTTTGGACATCTCTGCTTACCGAAACACAGACACAGCATAAACCACGAGCACTAATCAACATCGCTTCAACGAGCTAAAGGATTACAGTCATCAATGGAAAACGAACAAATTTAGAAGCACCAACATGAAAAAAAAAATCAAAATCACACAAAAAATTAACCTACATAAAGCAGTACGGAAATCATTTTAAAGTAACTATAGAAAAGAAAAAGACCCGCGAAAAGAAATTTAGATATAATTAAACCGTAAATTGCAATGCCGACTAACATGAAAGAATGAAAGTAAAAAGAGACGTGATAATGAAATTCAACCTATTAAATGTATTTGGAATAGTAGTCACAATTAATGTTTGCTATGAATTTCATCATTAGTTTTACACTGACATCGGACTTAACTTTGACAATATTTCATTAATATTTGATATATTATGCCTTTTAACAATCTCGCATAAAGTCACATATAGCAGTCTCTAATATTGTATACTAATAGACTAGAGAGAAGGCACCAAGTCAATAGCACCCTCCGCCAACTTTTTAGCTGCTATTGTCTGATAGGAATAATGGGATTTGACTGTCACTCTTATAGCTTACCCACAGCTCCAAAATACGGAGCACTTTTCGCGAACCATGAATTTTCAGGTTCATTGTCTAAGTATGCTATCCACTAAGCCCAATTTTTTTCTAGCAATAAATTATACTTTCAACTGCCTAATGAAGATAACGATTGAATATGTTTATAGTTCTATTTTTTTATATCAATTGGTAACTTAAAAAGTAATTAGTATGTTTTTCATATATCTTATTTGGTGTACTTATTCGAACTTCAAGTACACCGTACTCTTTGGTGTTTTTGAATGAAAAGTAGTTTTTTCTTTCACCGATGGCAGACACTGCACTACAAGGGATGTCTTAAAAGTTCTTCTGTTTTTTTTCAGATTTTCATCTGCACTATTTATGAATATTTCAAATCCTAGTTATTGTCTGGTTTTACTGGAATAGATTGGTAACTCCCAATATTCACAATCAATTTAAGGAAAAAAACGCTATTTTGTAATACACGCAACATCTTGATGATTTGTTCTTATAAAACTTACGCACAAATGCGTATAAACTAATATAAAGAGAAGCTTCAAATTATAACACGAACATAAGTGATGAGATTTGTTTGTTTGTTTGTTTGAATTTCGCGCAAAGTTACACGAGGGCTATCTGCGCTAGCCGTCCCTAATTTAGCAGTGTAAGACTAGAGGGAAGGCAGCTAGTCATCACCACCGCCAACTCTTACCAACAAATAGTGGGATTGAATGCAACGTTATAACGCCCCCACGACTGAAAGGGCGAGCATGTTTGGGGGATTCGAACCCGCGACCCTCAGATTTCGAGTCGAGCGCCCTAACCACCTGGCCATGCTGGGCCAACTGATGAGATAGTTAATAAAGAAAACCGAATCAAAGCCGGAAAAAAACGATATAATGTGAGTACAAATACTAATTGTAATTAACTTTTTTCATCACATCAGACACAAAGGGAGCCTAGTGGGTTTATCCTATGAACTTCCAAACCAATTGACAGTAAATTGTGAAATATGCATATGTGTTATAGTATTTTGACACTTGTGTAAAGTTAAAATCATAAATAATATTCAACGTTAAACTGGTACACAATTAAAAACATTTTATTTAGGCCTATCTGAGGACGACGTTGTAACGTCGAAACGTGTAGAGTCGTCAACTTTTGAAGGCCATAGATAGGCCTAAATAAAATGTTTTTAATTG